AAAGACTGTAATATTGTGCCATCTAACCTAACATCAAGATAGAAATTGGAGACATCTGCCACCCAAGAAAACATCCATGCACAAACATAAAGGGCACGGGGAGGGGGGAACAGACTGTGTTACTACAAAGCATCCATTGTGTCGCTAACATTCAACAATACCATGGGTTACAAATGGACAGGGTGCATGTGTGTGTGTGGGGGGCTGTGTAGTTCATGCACTGCGCCTCTTTGCTCTAAGGCCTCTTGACAGTAAAAGTTTATGCACCCTTACATAATGGCAAGAAACAATTTGTTCCCTAAAGTCTTTGATCTGTAAAAAAAAACTATTCTAGGTATCAAGAAAGTTATCAAAGTTGTAAAAAAGAAAAACTTGATACAAGCCTATAAATAATAATGGCCATTCTATGACAAAGTATTTTTATCTCATACAGTTTGTATCTCTATATAATTAATTTGAAAAAAAGCTACAATTTGTCCAATTTTCAGGCAAACAATTTAAGATACATACCTCCAGTTTGTAAACTCCCATCAATAAACTCCTTAGTCTAAAGAAAAAAAATACCATTCCTTTCCAGTTTATTAAACATGCTTACACTGATAGAACCAATCAGTTTTATTATATAATTTAAGTAACTTCTGCAGAAAAAGTTCACATTCACAAAACATAATGCATTATTTACAAAAATAATGTAGTGTTAGCAATTGCCTATCTTCTTATATAGTAGTAGTAGTAGTAGTAGTAGTAGTAGTAGTAGTAGTAGCAGTAAAGTTGGAAGGGACCTTGGAGGTCATCTAGTCCAACCCCCTGCTCAGGCAGGGGCATAATATAAAAATGTTTATATTATGATTTATCAAAATGCTTTAAAATGATTACTTTCAATCATAATCCGACTCATAGTACATCATAAAAACTTCTCAGGTTTTAAAATATCACACAGGAATTACTATATAGAATGAAATAAAATCTGTAGAGAACCGTAGAGATCTACAATTACTGCGATTCTCTAAAAATTGTTGGAAATGCAATAACCAGATGAGGTCAACAACATACTTTACATAGATGTGCTTAAATTGAAAAGATAAAAAACCTGAGCACATTAATTAATAGTGGCTTGAGGAGGAAAATCAAATGAAAACATTACTTCACTGTGACAATGCATGCATGTATAAAAGGAGCAGTTTGCATTGCCATGGTGCAAAGCTACTCAACATGTTGATAAAATTGAGATATGTTCTGGTTAGAAAAGATATTATAAACCGACACTATCAATATTATGTATAATACCAGAAAAATGTGATGAAGATGTCTATATTTAATTGTATATGTATTAACAGTAGCAAGAATTGTATTTGCCCAGTGTGGAAAAATGCATACCACCAGAAGAAGAGAGGACCAAGGAAGCACTGGATGGTGTAGTATTGGAACTAGACTGAGAAAGTTAATATGTACCACTGAATTACCAATGGACCCAGACAACATGTTGTTTATAAGTATTCATGATTGTAAAATTAGAAAATTAATAACATATTTATTTAAAAAAAGAAAAAGTAATGTTTTCTCCATTTGCTCTGTAATGTAAATTGCAGAATGCAGAACAAAGCTCATGTTTACCAAGAAAAGGATGTATTATGAGTCGCAATATGCCAGGCTTATCAATGCATTACAGTGTTTCATGTAATATGATTGGTCACTGCTACTCTAATCAAAGAAAAAGTTTATTTATCTGAATTATTTCAATTATAGATACTTCTTCACTCTTAGCATTACCCCCATTCAGTTCTAAAATATATGCTTATGAAATAATTTAACTCATAATGATGGACACTTACCATTGGGAAAAACCTTATTATATTTTCAATGGGATTATCAGCAATATCCAAGACCAAATACCTACAATTAAAATAAGTGTGTTAAATACATAGGCAGCACTATTCATTTTCTAGAGTGTTGAACAGCCATAAAACATTAAATCATGGAGCTCATTGAGAGAGTGGTTTATTCTCAGATATTAAACTCTTTAGACTGCCACTGCATATTCTGATGATCCCTCCTCTGCTGAAACACACCTAAATATTCTAGAGGGCAAAATAAAATTAAATGAGAATTTCAGAAGAAAAGTCACAGTGCAACAATGTTTCTTTGATTCTATATTTTTTCAAAGCAGCTCTCCAAGTTCTATTTCTACCACCCCAAGTAGTCTTTGGTAAAATTCTGCCTGAAATCTTGAGGAATTAGTATCAGCCAATAGATAACATGGAAGCAGAAAGATAAATATAGGAAGTCCTCAACCTATGATCACAATTGAGCCCAAAATTTGTGTTGTGAAGCGAGATACTTGTTAAGTGAGTTTTGGCCCATTTTATGAACTTTCTTGTCACAGTTGTTAAGTGAATCACTGCAGTTGTTAAATTAGGAATACATTTGTTAAGTGAATCTGGCTTCTCCATTAACTTTGCTTGTCAAAAAGTGATTACATGACCCCAGGACACAGCAACCATCGTAAATATGAGTCAGTTGCCAAGCAACTGAATTTTGATCATGTGACCATGAGGATGCTGTAGTGGTTGTAAGTGTGAAAAAGGGTCATAAGTCACTTTTCCCAGTGTTGTGGTAACTTCGAATGCTCACTAAATGAACTGTTGTAAGTCAAGGACTACTTGTAGTCTGCATTATTATAAATCAGGTATTTATGTTGAACTATTTGCCACATACAAATGCAACATAGCACATTTGGTCCAGCAATAAAACTAGTGGTTTAAATTGTTCAAAGCCTCTAGCAGAAGAAAAAGTTATTAGCAATGCCATTTGTCTGAAATGGTATAGGTTTTCCTACCTGAGCATGGGGTTGGATTAGATGACCTCCAAGGTCCTTTCCAACATAGTAATAATAATAATAATAATAATAATAATAATAATAATAGTAATAATAATAGTAATAGTAATAATAGTAATGGAGATTCCTGCTTCAAGTTTGAAAAAAACGCAGGAAGCATTATGGAATGTTATTTATGAAGCAAAAGAATTACCATTAATTCTATCATCTGTAATGAAAGATATTTATATATTACTAAATGAAATTTCTTATTAAACCACTAACACAAATCTGTAGTTAATATTTGAGATAAGCAACTGAATAGTAAATGAAGCCCAACTGATTTAGGAAGTTAGCAAAATTCTGTGTATCAAGTACTAAAGAAAGGACAGGTGTCTCACGTTCACTTATAAAGCTGTTGTCATGGTTCCGATAGATGAGACCAGTAGAAATAAGAACTCTGAGGCAATTGCTTTCCTCAAAAGGTTACAAAGTAAAAATTAAACTCCCCACCCACTAAATATGTAATAAATCACATTCTCCAATTAACACCTTTGGCGGGCTTTCTAAGGTCGCCAAACACTTGAGCGATTTGACCTTGGTTCCCACAAGAAAGTTATTGTTATGACTGAACTAGAAGAATGCATCTTCCCTCTCCCCATAGCTGTGGCAAGCCGAAAAACGAAGAAAGATGGCTATAACCAAAAGTAGTTTTGTAGGTTTGACAGCTGTGTTCCAATGACTGTATCTGAAATCAAAAGCCCTGGAGCAAGGATCCCCAACCCCCGGTCTGTGGACCAGCATTGGGCTGCGGCATGTCAGAAACCAGGCCACACAAACAATTAGAGCCCCATCCACAGGATGCAGGCAACACACGAAACCACACCCCCTTCAGTTCACAGAAAAAATCTCTCTCCACAGAACCGGTCCCTGGTGCCCAAACGATTGGGGGGCACTGCTCTAGAGATACAAAATGATACTGTAAATGCAACTGATCTATTCACTTCATATGAAACATCTGAACCTTTGGACTATAGACTAATAAGTCACCTGGATACCTTTTTGGAATTATGAGAACTAGAAATTTATACTGTATAAAAATCAAAATTTTTGACATATTTGATAGAACTTGAAATACATTACCACAACATTTACTACATTTCAAGATTTTATCTCATTTTTCCTCTTTGTATCATTCTCATCTTAGGGAAGGAAGAAAACAGAGATAATCTTACATATCTCTTTCCAATACTTTTATCTACTGGCACATAACATGCTTCTCAGTTACTGTGAACTATGAAGACACTTATAAGAGTATATAAATGATATAGTATATACTATCCTAAAAAGTATATTTTGTACAAAAGATCACTGTTTTCAAAGCATAATTTATTTAAGATTTTCTTACCTAAATAAGTGCTGGAAGTTTGGTTTAATAAAGTTCGCTTCAATGTTTTGTCTTATGCATATTACATGAGTGATCCCATGTTTCTGAAGTGTAGGTAGCTACAAAATGAAATTATGAACAAGTAAAAAATTCAACATATGGCTGATACCAATCCAGAAAGAAACTTTAAAACAATAGAACTGCATTTTAGTAGCTAATACTTAATTAAGTAATCATTACAGTTATGTATGAAATGACCAACAAACAAATTTAAAAAATAAATAAAAATAAATAAAGTGATTACACTAAAATAGCAATATAGAATATTTCTCTCCCCCATATATGTCCTGGCTGAAAATATTCAGCATCTCTATAACAGCCCAATTGATTAGGTTCTTTGCCTAAAATAAATTTAATAAGCTAGAAACCACGAACAGCCTATAACATACATGAACTTTAGAAGGATTTTCAGTCTTCTGACTGTTCTATAATGAAATAGTGCATCTGCAGAAAGTATAAATATCTCAAAGGTCAATCAATGCTGCAACAATGCTTTTATTTTTATTGAAATGTTTCCTATACCCCTTTCTCCAGGCAGAAATCAGAAATACCTAGCTAAAAATTAAATTGCTACAACAATATTTAAACGGTATATAACAGCATGGTAAATATATTTTCTAACAATTAAGGTACATACAAGCCCAAAAAAGCCTTCCTTAATTCAATGACAAAAATCCACAATGAAGGGGGGAAAGGAACATGTCCTAAAGAAAGCATCTAGATCAGGGGTGTCAAACTGCCGGCCTGCGGGCCAGTTGCATTATGCGGAGGCTGCGTCCACCCCAGCTCCAGCAATATGAAAAAAGTCGAGATACGTCACGACACGTCACTTGATGCGGCGAGTTTGACACCCGTGATTGAGGTAATTTACACATAAACTGCTCAGTGTAAAAAGGTTGCAGACAACCTACCTTACTTTTCATAGCTGAAGAGTATGGGCCTAAGAATAAGCCAGGTAAAATTTCCTAAAAAAATAAAATAAAATAAAGAACAGTGAGTAAGAGGATGGGAAGAAAACAAACACGCATACAAAATTTACAAGGCACAACATTAATGTATAACAAGAATTATATTATTGCAATATTGAAGATTAGTCTTAAATTACTTCTGGCCCTATTAAAATACACTTGAGAAAAACGCAAGCCAGTAGGCCAGGTTTATTTTCTTATAAATCAGCACAGGGCTACAAGAGAATACTACATATCCTAAGTACATGTTAAATCACAGGAGAAACTTTTTGATCTTCGTGGCCAAAGGCCACGCCAGAATTCAAATAACAATCTCATGTTTGATCAAGCTTAATGAACTCAGGTAGAGTACAATAATTGTTTTATAAATTTTATGAATTTGCTATTTTTGCTAGGAAGTTACTTGGTGCTTTTTCTTGGAAAAAGAAAAAGAAAGGAACATGAATAAGTATGATTGCAACCCCAACTAAAATGCCAAGAACTGTTTGTCTCTGTGGTATAATATATTGCCGTGGTGGCGAACCTATGGCACGTGTGCCACAGGTGGCACGCAGAGCCCTCTCTGTGGGCATGTGCACCGTCGCCCCAGTCCTAGACCTTCAGCTGGGTTTTATAAAACCTTTTCGCTTTAGGCCTCCGCCGTGTGCAAAAAAAAAAAAAAAGGTTCAATCAATCAATCAATTTCAACTTCTCACAGGAAAAAAAAAGATCTCGCAAAATTCGAATTGATTGAACTTTTTAGTCCCGCCCAGTCTGCCATTACCATCGAAGCCATGCCCACCCAAAGGGCCACACCCACCCAATTGGTCACACCCACCCAATGGGCCACACCCACCCGGCACCCGACAATACATGTGGGTTTTGGGTTGCAGTTTGGGCACTCGGTCTCTAAAAGGTTCGCCATCACTGATATATTGTGCTTCTTTTCCTCTTCAAACTCATTCTGGACTAATCCTGTAATCTATAGAAGAAATTCAAAACCTTCAAAGATTTGAAGGGAAAAAAATATACACATCTCTCAAGTTATTCCAGACTGTTCCTATATATATAAAAAACTGAATTTTTCAGTCCCAATTTTCATTACGTGTTTAACCCAAGCCCAATTTTCACTTTTATTTTTCCTGTTCATATCAATATCACCTTATTTTCCTCTGAACTTGGTAATTTATAACCAAGATGAATACACTTCTTCTATACTGTTTTGTAGAACCATTTCTCAAAACACGTTTTCTGGTGATGCTCCTGCCTACCTGATGGGTGGAAATTCAATAGGCCAAGCTTTTCTTCATGGCATCTTTTAGTAGGAAAATGAATTTCTGCCTGCCATGCAATGATTAAAGGCAAAACAATTCTAGACAATGCATATTCCTGTGTTTTTTAATATGATTCCTATGTCTCCTTAAGTGCCAACTAGGCTCTTTAGCTTTTTTTAAGGTACAAAAATATTAACAGTGAAACTTTAATGCTAAGAGTGGAGTGTGGTCTGGAAAACTATATTTCATTTCAAAAAAAGTTAACAGAACCTTGAGCGTTATCCAGAATTGTGCCCAACTAACCAAAAAAAAAGAACATTATTATTTAGAGCAGCATTTCTCAAACTTGACAGTTTGAAAATGTATGGACCTCAACTCCCAGTATTTCCCAGACAGCTATGCTGGCTGAAAAATTCTGGGGGTTGAAGACTTCTTCAATTCTGGGGGTTGTAGACTACATATCTTCAAGTTGTTAAGGTTAAAAAATACCAATTTAGAGGGTGGGCACAAAGTATCCCAGGGACTACAGATTTTCTGAGAGGCCAATTTAATGAAAATTAAATACCAAAGCTGAATACATTTGCCCATTTTTAAAAAAATGTCCTTGAGCAGAATGTATTGATTTGGGGGTGTGATACAACTTTTGTGCTTATTTGTGTATATCTGCTTGGTTATTTGCCAGCATGAATGTATGGTACACATTACACATGGATATTTTGCCTACGATAGGAAATTGGAGATGTGTGTACCAATTAGACTTTATCTTTGCTTTTCATTTAGTTTCTGGTAGCAGTTAGGTATCTTATTCAACTTTCCTATTATGAAATGGGCATGGAAATTAAAAATTATGGGTTCAAAAGAATAGACTTAAGATTTTAACTAAAACCTCACCTGTCACTTGACTAGAATTCTTGAACAAGTTTTTTTAAATTATGATAGCTTCACTTCTGAGAAATAGCTGTGGTAACTATTTTATGAAAATTCATTCTTAATATTTCCACAAGGCTTGAATATCTAGATATATTCCCGTCCTCTGAATTCAGAGGACAGAGTGACAGAAATGTGTACAGAATGTATAATACTCAGGACTGGCGGAGGTAGTGATTATTGGAATAGCCTACATTAGCAACTATCTGAAGAGGTCAGAAGAAAAGGCCAGATTTGGGTCTAGGGTCTATAGCTCTTTCAAATGAGAATCTTTCAAAAGCATAATAATATATTGTAATCCCTTGCTACCCCGACCTCCTTGGTTACAAATATATTAAGTAGATAATAAAAGGCTAGTTTTTAGGACAATTTCCCAGACATTTTATAGCAACCATCCTTCCTTAGTGTTGCTGGGCTTTCCCCCCTAATTTATTTATGATTTGCAATATATAACAAGCATGAAATGAATTTGCCGCATCAATTTTTTTCACTGCCTAATGTCAGATGTCGGCATATGTTTTCATGAAGTTGCTAGAGCCCTGCAGCAGCCCAAAAACATAGTAAATAAAACTTCCATACCTGCATCTCTCTTCTCATTGGATATGTCCAATCCTAAGTGGAAGAAATAAAACACATTTTCTCATTTGAATATAAGACCAGTCAAAATAGTGAGGTTCTGGAAAAAATGCAAGGTGAAAATGACCGGTTAAACAAACTAACAAAGCTATAGGTTTGATCTTGTAATTTTTCATTACTAATGTTATCGTGGAAAATACTGTTACTAAAGTTATCCTGGAAAATATTTTTATACATTTATGAGAACTAAAATGGCATAAGAATTTCTAAGCACACCCAAAGTGAGATTTTTCATTTGTCCATGAAGCAAGATATAACCTGGACACTGAATCCCAGCTGAACTTCAACATGGTTATGTACAATTACCAATTTGTAAAAAACCTGGAGAAATATTAGTGGTTCAGAACTATTATGGGAAGAAATGTGTAAATAACCATGGAAAATGTTTTAAGGAGGAAATGCAATGTTAAGTTTATGTTAATTGAAAGATTTCCAAAATTTTAATTTTCTAAATATAATCAGTCACTTCTCCCACTATCTGATGACTTTCTCTGAAAGTCAGGACCATGAGTGAGATATTACTAATAATAGGCCAACAGCACATGATTATTAAGCACCACTTTATCATAATTAGCTAAAACCATATTAATAAACTAAATAAACCTCACTTTATAAGTCTCAACACCAACATGTAATACAAGCTAGAAATAAGCCACACACATTTTAGTGCAATGTTTAAATCCAGTTACTGCCTCCCTAGCTTAAATAATCAATTTCTTAAGTCATCAGTTAAATAATGTTAAAAGAAAACTAATAAAAGTTTCTGACATATAGGAGCTTTTTCCTCATTTTGAATTAGTTCACCTTGTACATCAATTTGCTGCCCATATACATGCTCAATGAAGGCTAATATAGAGATTCTACACTAGAACAACATGTAAGCATTGAATTAAATACTATAAAACAGGTAGCAATTGAAAAAGAGCACTGATTCCCCCAAAACTGCAAATGTCTGGCCAATATATAGTAAAACAAAAACAAAAACAGATTAGCTGGAATATGTGTGCTAATAAAAAGCACACAATACTCTATAATAGTTCATCTGATATTACTTTTAGTGAACAAAACTGCACAAAAATTTAATAAGTAAATAAATCTTAAGATTATCTGTCATTACAGTGGAGAGCAGTATTGAAATATAAATATTTTGAAATGCTTAATATAAGATAGCAAACAACAAATTATATCCTTTACTAATAACAAAGATGAACTTGTAGAACATAGTCTTGCTGAGCATTTATTTCAGACACAAGCAGAAGGCATTTAAATATACAGCTAAGCTGATAAAGTACAATCATTAAAAAGCTACAGCAGAGAATGCAAACTGCCATGTCCACTATAACCATCACTTTGCCAGAGCTGGCTGGAATATGAATTATGAAGAAAATGACATATGTCCTTCCTCCTAGAGTGAGAAATTCAGACAAAGAAATGGGAAATCAAATGTCTTCCAGACAAGCTAAATATCCTACAGACTATCACAAAGAGAATCAGATTAATCAGAAAGCAATAGACAAAACCCTTAATTTGGATCCCTCGATATTACTTGATTCTTGCAAAAACACAACCAATTTATAATAAGATATTTTTATCCTGAGAATTGGTTTGAGATGCACATTCTAAGCTGCCTAACTCTTATTGGATACTAATTGTCTCTAAAACAGATTTCCACAATTCCATAGAAACATACATCTATTTGAAAACTAGCAAATCACTGACATTTTCCCTAATACAAAATGTTTCAAATCTGAAATGCTCTAAACCAGTGGTGGCAAACCTATGGCATGCGTGCCAGAGGCGGCACTCAGACTCCTCTCTGTGGGCACGTGCAGAGATGGCAACCGTCCCTCTTCAACCAGCCGCCCGCTAACTCGCCAAGGTCCCACGTGGCCGGATGCATCCCAGCATGGCTGGTTTCCTTCCTCCTGTCCCATCCCTCCTGGCCTCGCATGCTCTCCTTTTCCCGGGCATGACCCACTGCATCGCCTCCTCAGCTGTCAGCTGTCCGTCCAGCTCAGAGGTGGCTTCTCTGAACTGCTGGCGGCGAGCTGCAGAGCCCCAGAGTGTGCCGGTCAAGGGGCCGGCAGGCTGTGGCTGCTGACGGACACTGTTGGCTCCCATGCGCTCGCTGGCCTCTGTGTGCATGGGCCAATGGTGTCAGGCAGCAGCCGCCCCGGCCCCTGCCTCGCCTTACCCTGCAACAATGGCTGCCTCGCCTTGCCTCACTCCACAGGACAAGCCTTCAGCCCACCGCCCCACCTGCCAGAGACCCCCTGGATCTCCCCCAACCCTGTCCGGCCCCCACAGGCATCCCTCCCCACGAGCAACATTGAGGTGACCACGCCCACCTTGGCCATGCCCACCCAGTCTGCCATGACTACCACAGCCACGCCCACCCAGTGGGCCACACCCACCCAGCACCCGGCGATAAATAAGTGGGCTTTGGGTTGCAGTTTGGGCACTCGGTCTCTAAAAGGTTCGCCATCACTGCTCTAAACTTAAAAGGCCATTTTTAGTTTGCAACAATTCTGACCTTACTCATAGTGTTCCAATGCTGACCATTCTGCAAGTACTGTACAGTATTTTGAGCTTGAAACAGAAATAATAAACCTCATCCATAGTGTTTTCAATATCTGGAACTCAGCTGTACCATGGTGTTGAAAGAAGCTAGAGTATAAGTGGCATTATATTAATTTTACAGTATCACTAATAAAAAAATAGAAACAGAAATCTGCCTTTTAATAACAAATATGGGGTTTTTATGGGAACATGATTTAACAGAGGAACTACATTAGATCTAAGTCAGGCATGTCAAACTTGCGATGTCAACGTCGTGTGACGTATCACAATTTTTTCCCCTTTGCTGGCAATGGGGTGGGTGCGGTTTCAAGTTATGATGCATCCGGCCTGCGGGCCGGCAGTTTGACATGCCTGATCTAAGTTAATGCCTTAATTTCAGACAATAATGGACTTTGTGGCAAGTCCAATGTTTGTTGCCTCTTCTCAAAAGTTATTATTCACTAAAGTAATAAAAATAAGTTCTCTCATATAGATTTCAATGGGGGGGATGTTGAAAAATCCTATTTCCCATTGCAAATATACATTAGGCTTTCATCTAATATGGAGAAAATGTTAATTATGGATTTACATTAGATATATTGTATGAACTGCCAATATTAGAATAATGGTAAGTTAGTACTTTCTGTTTTCCTTCTACTGTTCCAAAATCCCTTGCTGACTTGGTTCATAAATATCTAGTCTAATATTTGGACTAGATAGTCTACTGGAGCTACCAGATGAACAATCATACCAACATATAGAAAACTGGCTCCATAAAAAAAAAAGTAAAACTGCCATGCACATTCCATCTTCTAACCAACTGCCATTTAGGACCTCCTCTTCCAGAACCATATGCATCATCAATTTTTTTTAGCAGGCTGCATCTAAAGGTAGAGATAAAGCAGTGAGGCCTATTTCTGCCAATTTCACTGAATTCAACTACATTTCCTTCTTGCTTGTTAAATTTGACTTAATTGAAAACTAAGCCTCTTGGCTATTATAACATTTACCCAAAATACACAGTTGGACAATATCATAATTAGGACCAATCAAAATAGCAGAAAAGAGCATGCAAGTTCCGAGTTCTTCACCATTAAATGGTCTGTAAAACAATTCTGGTTGGTCCCAATAAAGGAATTAACAATCTACATTTGGATGTTTTTCCCCCCCTTTCTATGGACCAACACAGCTTTTTCACTATAATTCTGATCAGCGATCGCAATATTCTATGCCAGTGATGGCGAACCTTTTAGAGACCAAGTGCCCAAACCACAACCCAAAACCCACTTATTTATCGCAAAGTGCCAGGGGTGCATCAGCAGTGTGGTGTCCTCGGGGGGGGGCAGGGAGGCGCCTCTGAGTGCTGCCTCTGGCACGCAAAACCCGGGGGCGCAAAAATGGGCCACTGTGCTGCAAGGCGCAAAAACAGCCACCACTGCACCGCGGGGTGCAGATACAAGGCGCTGCACCACGCAAGAACAGGGCAGGGCTAGTATCACGCAGGCACTAGCCCCACTCCATTTGCAGCGCGTGCATGCTCGCAGCCCCGTGCGTGCATGCACGCATGTAAAATGCTTCCCCCTCCCTTTTCTTCCAGTCAACCAATCGACAATGGTTGGTGACTTCTGCTCTACCATCTCTACTCGAGCTTGCTAGTCGGCCGCTTCGCCTCCTTTGTGCTGGGCGGGGCTCCTGCTCTGGGCGGCGTGGATGCGCGTGCCAACAGAGAGGGCTCTGAGTGCCGCCTCTGGCACGCGTGCCATAGGTTCGCCACCACTGTTCTATGCTATATTTTTTAAAATGTAAATTTATGAAGATTTAGTCCCCACAGCTCTAGTAATTAAAGTTTGTGTAATCATCTATATGATTATAATCTTTTTTTGTACAAAAAAGGTTACAAAAATTATGCTTTTCAAAAACAATTGGAAAGGAAATAAATAGGTGCACCAGCAAGACAAATACAGCTTATGCCATTCCAGCTCCTCGAGTCTGAAAGTTAAGTAGTTAACAATATATAAAGTGATTAGAAAGTTCACAGCTTCTTCAAGATTAGTCAGATTGCTGTGCTACCCCCTGCTATGGTAGCATTCAATATTTACAGGGATATAAAGGGAAGCACAGAAATATAAGCAGGAGCAATGTAAGATACTAGAGCATGTCCCAAGAATGGGCAACCTTTGGGTGACTAGCAGACATACTTCATATTTTAGGAAGAGCAAGGACAGTAGAATATAGTGCAAGAATATAATATAAAATAAAATAAGCTATGTCACAGGTTTTAATGGTGTCAAGAAGTTCTTTCTGCTGAGTTCCGTTTTTGATGTTTATAATACAATTCTGGCATGTTTCCCATCTCAAAGAGGCAAGAAACGGTAGTTTCAATTTTCAACAGATTAATTAAAATAGATTTGGGGGCACAACTGGATCGTTCTATACAGTGTCAGAAGATATTAAAAGGGATGCCGGGAGGATACCTGCATAACGACAAACACCCACCCACCCCAAATGCTTTGAGCAAATTCCCTAATAATATGGGTTTTCTCACAGAAGAACTCTAGATGGTAGTGTGGTGTGCGTGCATGTCATTAAATGGGTGTGCGAGTTCCTAGAAGATACTACAGGGCATCAATGTGGTTCTATTCCTGCACGCTGAAAGGCTAAAATAAGACACTCCACCTCTAGTCTAGTCTGTTACGTTGAGAAACATGCTATAGAAAAAACACACGAAGCCAGGCAGGAATAACAGGCGCGTTCCCTTGGACCCGAGCTCCCTTCCTGTCACTCCTCCTTGTTCCGGACACAGGACAGCAAAAAGGAAGGAGGACGGGCTCCCGAAACAAACCTTGTAACCCGCGAGGAAATGTTTATTTAACGCGGCACACCGATTACAACGTGATTCCGCTTCCCACCACCACCACCACCACCTGCCTAGCAAGTGGAACACCTGTGCGCGTTTGGCTTGAAATGGGGCGGGCGGGCGCGAGCAAAAACGGAGAGCGCCTTCCCCAGTTTCCAGTCCGGCTGGTGGCGGGGGTGGGATCGCGAGGTTCCCCAAGGGGCGACGGCTGCGCTCCAAGGTGCCGCCGGCTGGGCGAACGGCTCCCGCTCACCTCGGAGTCCTCTTTGGGCTGCGGCAGCGCGGGGAAAACCGGCTTGGCGAGCTCCATGGCCGGGATGGCCCGGGTAGGGCGAGGCTTCTTTCCGTCCTTCCCTGTATCTTCTTTTCCCCTCTTCTGACAGTCAGTGGGGCAGAGGGAGAAAGAGGTCGGTGGGCCTCGACGCTCGAGCGGCGGTGCCCAAGGGGCTGGCAGGGAACCGAGGGAGATGATGACGAGGAGGAGAAGGAGGCGGCGGGGGCTCGCGCCCAGCCGCCATGCTGTTCGCAGGCTACCCCTCCCCCTCCAAAGGCAGGCGGTCGGTCGCTCGGTCGGTCACTCCTGGCTCCGCTCGCGGACGCCGTCGCACGCGCGCTCCGCTCGACGCCCTCCCCCCCCCCTCTCCACTCCCCACGAGCTATCCTCCTGGGCTTCCTCCAACTGCCGCTTGCTGCCGAGGACAGTCGGGATGGGTGGGGAAGCCGAGGGCGTGGCGCTGGAACGGGCCGTAATAGGAATGGGTGTGGTGTAACGAAGGATCCGCCCCTGCTCGGGTCACAGGCGGAGGGGGCGTGGCCGAGCGCCAAGGTCCCCGAAGGGGTGTGTTGACGAGAGGAAGGGGCGTGTCGGAGAACTCAAGAGAACGCGCTTGTCCTCCTTTTTTGCTCGTGGTGACGCGCCTGCGTGACGGAAGGAGAGCGGCTGTCGCTGCCTCGTGCGCGGATGCGGGAAGCTTCCATCGCTCTCTCACGACAGCCGCCGAAGAGGGTTTTCTTCCAAACCCTGGTTTTGCACAAATCATTTCATGCAGCTTTGCTCAACCTGTTTTGCCAACGCGGCCATAGGATGGTTTTAATCACCTCTATTCTGCCTGTGTTAGGAGCCATTGCTGTCCCAGGTTGTAATAAAGATTTGCATAATTTCATTCTGCATCTTATTTAGCCACATAAATAACTGGGACAGTTCCCATATTCTAATGTGCAACTCCAAATTCTAGTTTAAAAGCTTTGGACAGATAAACATAGAACCCCAGATGCCAAGCATAGTATTCATCTCTATGTTGGATATTGTTCACGTTAATTCTGATCTGCTCTAGCAAATCATCTGCATCAGTTTATGTAGTTTTTCAAACCACTCAATGTATGTCAAAAAATGGTATTAAAAACCAGCAAAGACAATTTGAGAGAAACAATAATGAACAATTCTGATTCAAAAAAAGATTGCAATGTCCATAGCTCCATATTTATGCTAACAAGGGGAAAGAAGAAAAGGAGAATTACATAGAATTTTTTAGTTGTGGTAAAAGAATACTAGATTAAATTGACTTTGGGCTTATCCAGTAAGTCTCCTTAAATGTTCACCCTGTTTATTCTTAAGCTTGTGGAAATAATGAAATACTAAACAAAACAATATTCATACTAGGATTCCCTCCCTGCCCTGACATTTTTAATTCAGTGTATGCATATATTGCTCCTCTCCCCATATCCTGTTCTGTTGCTTAATTGTGGCTGAGTGAAGAATTTTGAAGTGTGTACCAAGAAATTTTTAGGAGGGTCAGATGTGACTGACTGTATATCTGACTATCAAATATATATACTAAATAGGTTGATCTTGACTGGCTTCAGGTTGACTCAGCCTTCCATCCTTCCGAGGTCGGTAAAATGATGACCCAGATTGTTGGGGACAATATGCTGACTGTAAACTATTTAGAGAGGAGTGTAAAGCACTATGAAGCGGTATGTAAGTGTTATTGCTATTGCTATCCAGCTAAAGCAGAAGGTGCCTAAGGGCCGTGGTGGTGCAGTGGTTAGAATGCAGTATTGCAGGCTAATTCTGCTGGCTGCCGACTGCCAGCAGTTCGGAAGTTCAAGTCTTATCCGCTCAAGATTGACTCAGCCTTCCATCCTTCTGAGATCAGTAAAATGAGGACCCAGATTGTTGGGGGCAATATGCTGACTCTATAAACCACTTAGAAAGGGCTGTAAAGCACTATGAAGCAGTATAAAAGTCTAAATGTTATTGTGCTGCAGTGATATAGGGAGATGTGAAACACATGATCACTTTCGATTTACACTGTGTGGAAAAGGGCAATGGTAAACCATGTCTGTATTTTTATGAAGAAAACCACATGTATAGAAAACATAAGCATCCATGTTTATGCTCTAACTATTGATGCATATTCTGTTGATATATGAAATCAACAGAATATGTAAATAAATTGTGCTGCTTGTGATTGGAGACTGGAATAGTGATGTTGGAAATATGAAAGAAGATAATGTAGTCTGTATGTATGGCTTAGGAAACTGAAATTAAGCATGAGACTGACTTATCAATTTCTGCCACTCCAGTCATACTTCCACAGCTCAGACTGTCTTCGAATAACCAAAACATCTTTGTATATGGACATTACCAGAACAAAGGCATAGAAATTAAATTCACTACGTGTTCATTGATCATGTTTATGGGAAGCTGGCAAGGAAAATTGTAAATCACAATTATGCAACCATGAGATTCTGCAACTGTCTTGTGAACTGGCTGCCAAATGCCCAGATGATGTTTACGTAGTCACAGGGTGTTGAGACATCTAGAGCTTTGACGGTATGTAACCGCCATTTATTCAGCACCGCTGTATTTTCAACAGACACTGAATGAGTGATCATTAATGGAGGATTATGTGTACTTTATGAAAGATCCAAGTATTTCTCTTTCTCCTGGTCTTGAGCATTTTGGCAGAGCTGCTGAGGAATAGGAAACAAACCTTCTGAATACCTTTGGAAAACAGCTCACAGAGCCATCAGCCAACCAAAGACCAGGCAGAGTATAAAGACTGTATGTTTATAAATCTCTTCTTTGGTACAAATCAAATGTGATTCCCCTTCCTGTACTCAGATAAAAGCAGACAGATTTGACATTCTACAAAATGTGATTTTCAGCACCTTTGCAGTAATATAATAGGGAAGTGGGAACTATATATAGTACTGAATTTTCTCTCCAGGTTTACTTTCCTGCATCTAGTAATAAGATGCAACTTGCCATAGAAGAACATTCACATTAAAATCAGTGGGACAGTGGCTACAAATGTCAAAAGACATAAATGTGTTTTAATTAATGTTGTATTTATACTAAATTTCTTTGCTTGCATGTAAGATATGGCTGGTTTCCATTTCTATTAAGTGTTCAATGTACTGTAATCCAAGACCCTGTTCATATTGCCAACAAATAACAGGAACCTCTTCCATATCAGTTGCCTTCTCCTTTGGGCAAGGCTCAGAGATATTCTAGATCTGGTTTCTTGAGAGATTGACAAATATTTACCATATCGCGTTTCCCCGAAAGTAAGACCTACCCCCAAAATAAGCCCTAGCTTGATTTTTTGGGGTGGGCCTAATATAAGCCCTACTCCCAAAATAAGCCCTAGTTTTGGGGCGAGGCACACACCTTAAACATCAAGCTGGGGTGAAGGTGTGGAACTGCCCCACGCGCCCCATACCCACTTACCTCTCCTCGCTGGCCAACTTCTTCTGTGGCGTCCCCAGCCTGCATTTCATAGTCAGAGGCCTTTCCGGAAGGCCACTGCAGCCAAGAATAAAAGGTATGGATTCAATCCATAGCTCGGTTCTCAACTGTAGTGGCCTTCTGGAAAAGGCCTTTGACTGCAAAATGCAGGCCAGACCTCCATTCTCAGCTGCAGAATGAAGCTGCTCCTTCCGCTGCAGAACAAGTGGGCCGGCAGGGCTGTCGATGCTGGAGGTAAGTGGAAAAGACACCCCGCCCCCCAAAAAAATAAGACCTGGTGCCACTTTTGGAAGCAAAAAAAAAAAAAGACCGGGCCTTATTTTCGGGGAATATAGTGAATACTGTAGACATTTTAATGTAAGAGCAATTATATGACCCTTCAACTATACATTATCATACAAAGAGATGCTTTCTCATAAACAGAGCTAGTTGAATTCAATTAGTTGGAAAAGATGAAAAGCTTTTTAGGAAGGAACTTCAGGAATGCCACCTTATATTGAAAATTGATCTGTGAAACAGGAAATCCACAATCCAGATCTTGTGCCTAGACTGTCTGTATTAGCATTCTGAAAATAATCCATTCTGCAATGACTTCAGTTTCCATAAAGTCAGTTTCCCTTTTTCAAACAATAGTTCCACCTTTCTTGGATATTGTGTAGAACTACTGGTATTTCTCTATGATCTTTGACCAGCATTAAAGCTATTGTGGAATGTAACTCCCATCACCCATCAGCAACAGGGATTTTTATAGTGTGGGATGCTGGATTAAGGAAGGCTGATTGTCTTGGATAAGCTAACTTCAGCCCAATTTCCGCTGCACTCTTAGTTGATGTATAAAGATTTCTTGCCACAGCTCCAACCAAGCCCTTTCTGAAATTAAGCATGGCCACTACTTCACAGGTACTTAGGTGGGGCAATGTTCAGCAAAAGGACAACAGGTCCTCCTTCTTAGCCTCATGTTCTCCATTTGGCAAGCTTAGCCTAAAATCAATATTGTCTGGCTTTTTGAATCTTCACTACGGCAGTCATTCAATCTTTTGTGTATTGTGATCTTCTAAATTGTCTGCTGCTTTATTCCCCTTGTCCATTGATAGACTCAATGGTCGATATTTACATGTTAATTTACTTCCTGATTCCTGCAATCGGCTTTGATGCAGCCCCTTCAAATCCATGATCACTGTGGTCTGTAGATCACATGGCTCATACTTTTCTATAGTAAAATTGAAAAAGCACATCATTGTCAAGTCTGCTAGCACTAAAGATCTGTTGGAAAACTATTGTGATTGAAAAACTAGTTTTCTGAAACTGGAAAATATAATTTTGAATATATATAAGGCCTAACTGTTTTTTGATATAATTTTTATCACAGATATCAAGAAATTGGAAGTCAGTGTGTCTTCCTTTCCGGTTGTCCATATCCTTTACCTAGTCAGGTATCCGGTAAACTTAGTCAGGGGCTGCAGATTAAATTTAGGGAAATTTCAGGAACCATGTGTTGCCCAATCAAGGGGAAAGTAAACAAAGGTAGTCCTTGACTTATGATCACAACTGGAAACAGAATTTCCATTACTAAGGAAGATGATTGTTAAATAAGCTGTACCCGATTTTACAAAAAAAATTGCCACAGGATCCCTGCAGTT